CATTTTTATGGGAATTTGATTAATTTGTTCTGGAGAACCCCATAAAAATAAATAAATAATTATATAAATTAAATATAATTTTATATTAATTAATATAAAAGTACTTTATATAAAATTTATAGCTATTATTTATGCTATTCTTCACTCCTTACGCTTGATATGATTACTTCCTAATGAATAAACTCCTTCGTGTTTAAAAAATATTGAATATAAAATGAAGAAATACTAAACGTATCTAATACTAAACGTATTTAATACTAAACGTATAATAATTTTTTTAAAATTTCTTATCTCATCTTTCAAAAACAAGATGAGAAAAAATATTTAAAAAAATATAATTTTACCACAAAAAATATTCAAAAAACGTTTCTTTTAACTTTTAAATTAATTAAGTTTTAAGTTAATTAAAATATGAAAGAAATTTATTAAAAAGTCTTGTTTATTTATTAAATTAAGTTATATATTCAATAAGTTTTAAGAGATAAAAGCTAGCAAATGTTTATAAGCATTATTTAAAAGAAGCATGTACACTTATTTTTTTAAATATTTAAAAATGGAAAAATATTCATAAAAATAGCATATTTTTTTTTTAACTTAAAAAGTTTTTCTTAATATGAATCCAAATTGAAAAAATTCGGGAAAACTCTTTTAAACGATTGTTTATGTAAAATAATGTATAACTATATATATATATATATATAGTTATATATTAAATACGTAAGACACAGAACAACTTTTTCCTGTTTATTAACTCGATAAAGAATATTCCTTTTGTCTGACCATACAGTTTTTGACCCTCTATGGTCAGACATCAGACGGCTGGATTAAGGAGTCAGCATAACGTTCTGGAGAATAATGAATCGAATTTTTCGGAGAGTGGTTTGTCCCGAATATGTTGGGCCACGTTCCTCACCATCCGCCCCATTGCGGCCCTAGTCGAATCCCTGATGGGCCTGAAAAAGGCCCTCATATTTCCCACAGGATGGAATGTAGTAAACTTAAGTGAATTCAGCATCACTAAGGAACAGAAGCTCTACAGCTTCTGATCCTTAGTGATGCTGAAGATTTCTTCACTAATTACCTGAATTTTCTCATAAAAAGTAATTTTTAAATTAATCTTTATAAAAACAAATATTACAACAAACATCTACTTTTTTATTATTTATTTTATTTTATTTTAAGAATTCTAAATCTTAAAATAAAATAAAATAATAAAAAAGTAGATTCTAAAGTAATTCTAAAGCTTAAAAAGCAAAACTAAAATGCGAAATTTTAATTTTTCGTGTTGACTCGCGACAGCAAATAATATAGATTTTACACAGATTTTTATATTAATAATAATCTTAATATTAAATTACGTTACAAAATATTTGATTGTGAATATTTTTTTTATGTAATTAACTTTATTTTCGAACAAAAGATGTGGTTAGAAATAAAAAAAATAAATTAAAAAAATCAATGATTGCCGATGGCATCCTCATTCGATGACACTCATTACAGATATTATTTTTCGGTTTGATGGATGATTTCTGGATCGAAAATTTTGTAACTATTTCCGGAAACATTAGAATTGATTCAAAGTTCAATAAAATTTAATTATTTGTAAAGTAATACTATACCCATGAATTTCGCTATAGATTTCACATATATAGAGCCTTTCATTAATGCAACTAGAGTGTATAAAACGTTGTAATTGCTGAAAATTTCTATTTTACTAAATCGGAAATTACAATCAAATCTCAATATAACGCCCTTCTAACTAGCGCCATCATTGGCAAAGCGCTAATGAATAATTGTTAAGAGATCTTCCACGTAAATAGAGAACCATACAGGAACTTTGAATATACGATTTTAAGTTGTAAACGACATAACCACGTGACTTTCAAACTTTCAATCTGAAAATTTGTATGTGGGCCTCGAATAGTCTAATTCTTAATTGTCTGAGAATTTCCAGTTTAGCTCTATTCTCGGTTTAATGCCAAATTTTACAGGTGAACAAATGGCGTTAAATCGAAGCTTGAGTGTATTAAAATTAATCTTATTCACGTAAAACAATATGCAACTTATTTCTTATTGAATTTATTAGAATTTTAGTGAAGATTTCAACAATTTATTCTTCATTAAAGAATAAATTGCTGAAATTTTTACTGAAATTTTGAAAATTAGTTGGTTAGTTTGATGGGATACGGCAACATAACACTTGGGCGATCTTTCAAGGAATGAGGACTTTCTATGAAAAACTGGCCGCTATTTAGGTGTTATTCACGTGAAAAAATTCCCGGAAGACTCCACGTACCAATGTCACGTGCCGGAAACCTGTGAATCAGTGATTAGAAAATTGCAAACTTACAGACTGCTCGATCACAAATTCACAAATTCTTAACTAATATTGAATTAGATACAAATTTTTGAAGTCGATTATCGTTAACAGACACATATTAAATAAATGTTTCTTATATTTTTCTATATAAACCATTTCGATACATGCATCAAAAATGATATGGCCTCAGTTGTAATTGAATATATTCCTTTCGTGTTGGTTATGAATCTGAAATTTGGATCGATCTTACTTCCTGATGATCGATTTAAAAATAGTTATTTTGAGAAAAGAATCAACCTGATGAAACATTGATTCGGAATCAATCATTACTATTGTCAACTGTCGGTTCTTGTCAATATTTAGTCCATTTTAAAGCTTACGGAGTAGCCCAAAAGTCAGTTAACCATGGGAACGACTGTTCTGTTGTCTTTTAAAAGTAGTTATTCATACTTGTTTGTTATGTTTCGGCTAATTCTATGTAATAAAAACAACAGTTGTGCTAAATATAGTTTAAGGTTAATACTCACAGGATTTCCAGGAGTTAACTTCTAGGCCACCTTTCTATGGAAAGAACAAAAAATTTAGTTGTATTAACCCATTAGCATTGATGGTAACTATTTCCTCTCTTAATGACGATAATAAATTGAGGAATAAAAATACTGATGTTCCTGATCCAATGAAGATAGGCTGTACCTCAAAAATGTAGAAATTAAAGCTGATTTTTTAATGTGTGTTAATTAAAGAATTAAAACTGAAGGAAATACGTCATTCTATAGACTAATCAAGGGATTTTGTAGTATATAGTATATAAATACCCATTTATTGTTTTTAAAATCTCTTTCAAACAGTAAAATACTCCAGTGGAATTGGCTTTAAAGAATGAAATGTAATTCTGAATATATATATATATATATATATATATATATATATGTGTGTGTGTGTGTGTGTGTATGTGTGTTACATAAAATCGATACTGGCATCGTTCCAACTTTTATGATTTTCTTTCCCTCGCGTCGCCCCTACCCATATCTTATTTTTCCAACTGACANTCCTTTAGAAAACTAGAAAAATGCCGTATCAGCTTTTCTTTTAAGATAAATTCTGCTTAAAATAGAATAAATCTAAATCCAAATTTACTGTAAGAATTGCAATATTTGATATAATTCTCCTACAAACCATACAACTAACAATGATGTTTGCAATGCGCATTTTCATTTTCCGGTGGTTACATCTCGCGATTATCATCTGTTAAAGTAAATTTTGTCTATGTTTTAAGGTTTATAATAAAACAAAATATTCTTTCTTCATTGCAAAAATCAGTGGATTCATACCTGTAATAATACACATAAACGGCGAAAATTTTATCGTATTTTTCTATAAAAAAAAAGAAATGCAATTTAAAGAGAAGAGTCTAGACTTTAAATGGGTTCAAAAATAGATCAGTTTTCGGCACGAAAGTAACTGCAAAAATCGCCTGAAGCATGAAAGAAGAGTTTTTCTCTCAATGGATATAAATGACAGCACATCAACT